TACCTTTAATGTTATTCAAAGGACTGCTGAAAGACTTTACAATAAAGAACTACAACAATATAAACACTGAGCAACCATGTGATATCAAACTATATACCTCAGGCATCTTCTAAGTAAATGGATGAGGACAGTGTTGAATGTATGGAATGTATCGTAGCTCATATTACTTTCATACCGCCTTTGCACTGTGGGAATAACAGCAGCTGTTGATAATTGAAGACAAGAAGTGAGGGAAGACAATCATATGTTATCCCGCCAATAGTAATTCAGAAAAATAAATTCAGGTGAGATATAGCCGCTACCTAAACCACAAGGCTTTACTACCTTAAATATATTAACTAAACCAATTGGATGAACATGTTAATTGAAGGAAAATACCCACATATTATGTACTTACATTATAATTGAAATTGAGGATCAAAAGAGAAGAGGTTTCTTTGTTCCTCCGTAGGATTCAACAACCATTGGCAGAACATCCATGAGGCTCCAACTACAGATAGAAGTGATAGCATTGCTAGAAATCCAAAATGTGAAACATCATTTGCAATTATTGCAACGCCCAACATTACAGACTCTGCTAAACTGGCAACAGAAATCTCTGTTGTCCCAATAAGATTTGCTTTGGATGATGGGATTCCTGTTTGAAGTATCTGGGCCCCAACAATATCATATGACATATGTCCCAACCTTGACAATACCTGCATACAGGAGGTGAGGGTACATATTCAGGTAGTATGCTAAATTTAAGACTGGTGGCTGTATTTTCTACTCTCTTTCATATTTTGCTATTGAAATATCCTATATAGCTGCCAGGTTTCTGGCCTTAGCTAGAGCAGCCAAGCCAAACTCACTAGACACATCAACATGGATAGTGATGGCTCCATCGAGTTCCAATACAGCCAGAATAATAGTTTCAGTTATATAGACATTTACCTTTTTTATTTCAATGCTATTAGCAGATAACTAATATAAACAGTTATTTCTGAATATAAATTTCATATCCAATCTACAACCATGACCAGTGATGTACACCGGATTGACTACCGCCTTCCTAGATTCCTAATTCACTGAGGCAATTTGGTTTTCCACTTAAAATCAATGGTCTGGTCCATCAAAAAATATTGAAGTTAAAGTTTGTTCTTACAATCAAACATAAGAAGAAAAGGAGGGGACCCTTCTGGGAAAGAGATCCACTCTGGTAAACAGCAACAGCTATGGTGAGAAGTGAAGCCTGAAATATTAATCCAACTGCTCCAGCCTGTTTGAAGGAGAAGATGACAGTTAGAACCAGCCCCAAAATAGAAAATTTCAGCAGACAAAACCAAACACAAGAGCCAACCTTTAAAATGCCAAATCTCCTGACCAAGGTTGCAGATAAAAAGGTTGCTGCAACACCCATAAAAGCACATAATCCACTAAAACTCCCAATAACAGATGGATTTAAACCTGTTAAACAAACCCACGAAGCACTTTGGAGTCAGAATTGAATTTCTGGGAGGTATAAGGTTTTGTAGTCAGCTTAAATACATCTATTCAAGTAATCAATGGTCATCCAGCAAATCAATATAAAAACAGACTGTAGTTTATAGTCAACTATCTGCATGGATTTACTTCAGGCATATCAGCGCATGCAATGCTTTAGACCAAAACACTGTTAGCATGTCCTCCATATGATGATAGTAATAAGCCCCTCTTCTTTGTACCCCTTTTTTCCTTTTTTCTTTCTTTTTTTTTTTTTTTGCTTTTGTTATCTTTACTGGTACTGTAACTTTCTATTGCTAGACTTTGGGTTGATGCAGCTTGTTTCTCCTCAAAACTGGGTCCAAACTGTAGATAATCAAGAATTGCATCTAAATAGGTCGTAATAGATAGAAAAATACCACGCTGAGTTAAAAATGCCGTCATTAAACTGCCTGGAGTAAGAACAACATTGAAGTAGAGGAGCACACATGCTAGGCTTGCAGGAAGGACGGGCTGCTGTACGTATTCCCTCCACCCAAGCTTGATGGCTTCCAAACCTGTATTAACTGGTCATCCACAAATTTGCAAACACCAAATATAGCAAGTGATATCAACCTTTGAAAAAGATGCAATCCACTAAATAAGGATTTCAAAAGTAATGAGATCAACATGCTTTACCAAAGTTATCAGCATCTGGCAGTTGCCCCTCATCAGATGTTCTGCAACAGCTTTGTGAACATCTGGCACGGTCAAGAACCCCAGTGGAAAGTTTGTTCGTTAACCATGTTAGAGAAATCTAAAGAATGGTGTTAGAATTAAGAAAAGAATGTAGACCCCGTTTTCCATAGAAAAAAAAAAGTACAAGCACAAAAGCACTTACCATAACTGGTAATGACCCCATCATCAAACTGGCAGCAAACTTCAAGCAGGTTACTGGATCATATTTAGAGAGAAGAATTCCAAATAATAATGTGCCCGCTATCTGCAATTATAGATGATAATGAATCTCTTCAAACAAATTTCAACAATGATATTTATCATGAAAAGCATTTCACTACTTGATTGTTAAGATAACTGCAAATTTATAAACTTTCTTGCACGTATTATAGGATTCATGCTCTGTGGGTTACAAGTAAACAGCAAATTATTATGGCTCAAAATACAAAGATACAGACCAATATTTAAAAAATGTAAAAGATCTTAAGATTATCAAATACCTCACAAAGCAGATCAATTCGATTGAGAACAGCATTTGCTTGTGCCAGTGCAATTGGCCTATTTATTCCAGCTAACTGCAAACACAAAGTGTCTACTTTAATTCGTGCTCCACTTTTGCAAGAGATGGTAATCATATCATCTGTGAAGGAAACAACCAAAATGCACAGGATAGGAACTAAGGGTACTACCAGAACAACCCAGTCACGCTCCATAGCAACCCCCAGTGCCACCCCAGATAGCCTCTCAATAGCCCCAGCTAACACTAGCACAGCAAACCAAGGATGGCGAAGAACAGATGAAGCAGAAGCAGAGGAGACCATATGGGCATGAATTATCATTGCGGCTGACAACAACTGTGCAGCAGCCTGGCAGATGCAAATAAAATTAGAAAAAAAATTAGAACAGTATTAGTTTTACATTTATATTGAAAAAAAAAATTGCTATTGGAAGTACCTGCACAATATTCAAAAAGATATATGAAGGTACTCTTGGAGAATGATCCATAAGTTTGCCAACCAAAGGACCTCCAACGATTATAACAAGCTGGAAACAGAAATTTGTTAGAAAGTACTCTTATCATCTCTTGTTCGATGTACTGAGTTTATGTCATTAGGATAATATGCACCTTAGTGAAGAAACAAATGACTGCCACTGGAAGAAGGCTTGGATGAAGCAATGCGATAGCAGAAGGCAAAGCAAAATTCCAAAGCTGTTCCACTAAATTCCCAGCCAGGCAACTTGCATAAAATGCTGAAATATGAATGTCCTTAAAGTTAGCAGCTGAAAAGACCACAATTATATTAAAATCATTGGACAAGATACAAAATTACAAGACACATCAGTTCATAACAAACAAATTTGGCTACATTCAAAATAATGCGTTCAAATCACACAGTGTAACAACTTTATACAACCCCAATCTCTAAAGCACACGGATGGCCACAACAACTAATGTTCATAGACATTTTGTTGTTATATACATACACCTTAAACACTCAAAACAAAAGCAAGTTTAAGTCGGTCAAAGCATTACATTACATATATTCTATGGTGCTTTGATTAGATGAAAACAGAAAGTCCTACCATACAATCCCTCTGGGTGCGCTGGGGTTGCTGCAAGGGCTTGCTGCTCCTCCTCTGATAATACCTGAAAAAGATGAAGAACACAACAACAGGAAACCGTTAGTCAATATGTAAAAGTGGCACAAAGATATAGAGAATATTGAACTCGAGGTGAAAATAAATTAATTAATAAACACAAAGAGGAACATACTGGCAGTGTTGTCAAAAGACTATCTACATAAGTATCCCCTGTTAGTATGCTCAAAGATTCAGTCTCGAGAACATCAGGTTTGAGCTGAACTATTGGAATTGAACAACAGCAACTAATTTCTGTTGCTGATATATCTTCCGGGACTTCATCCTCGGTAGCCACATGGTTGAATTGTACATCAGTGTTTGTTATAGAACACCTAGATTTAAAACTGCGAAAACTATAACTAAACAGAAAAACAATCAAAAATTGATTAGCTGCCTCATTCAGTTCTCTCAATTACTAAAAACAGCTTTTTTTCAGAACATATTACAAAACCAATTCAATTATGAACCATCAGTTCTATATGCCACAAGACATTGCATCAAAAATTATAAATTTTTATTTTTCATTTGCCACATTTAATTTGGGAGCAACAAAGAAAACTGTTACCTATGTGTAGTAGTAGAAGGGGAGTTGAGATTCAACCATCGGCTAGAAGAGAAGCGATGGCGAATTCTAGAAGCAGCTTGTCGCGATATAGAGGCTTCTCTTCTGGTAACAGACAAGTTAAACAAATTGAAAGAGAGCTGAGAGTTTGTAACTGCGACAATTGCCATGCTAGCTTCTGCTGTTGCTTATTTGACTTCTTCTTCTTCTTCTTCAAGTGCCCAAACTTGACGCACCAATAATCACTTTTGAGTTCTTCCAAACTCATGCAGCCTTCAAGAAAGCAAATTGAACCCCAAAAATAGCAATCTTTTCCACTCTTGGATTCGATACCAAATACTATCTGGGTTTATCTTCAAATGAGTCAAAAAGCAAGAAAAATTGGAACTTTTCAAATGCCAATATGAACTGGTTCAGCTTTTAAGATACCAAATGCTATCTGGGTTTAGCTTCAAATGAAAAAAAGTGGAAGCTTTCGTGTACCAAAATGAACTGGTTCAGTTTCTAGATACCAATAACAATCTGGGTTTGGCTTCAAATGGCTAAAAATTGAAAAACTTTATGTTTTTTGTGTGTGTATGGCACAAAGAATTGGGGCTGGAGATGAGGTGGATTGTTGAAAGTTGAGGCTTATCTGTTCTGGGTATGATTTTTTGTGCAAGAGTCCGCCGGTGGGCGGAGATGTCTATGGGAAGAGATTGTGTGGCGCCAGGTTTCTGATTGTGGGTCCGAACGAAGCTTGGTTCACCAGTTGGATTTTGCCAAGTTGCTTTTTCAGTTTCCACATATGGCAGCCCTTTGAAAATCATGAACTAGTACGACTGTCAGGAATGGTAACGCCAAAAACAACTTTAACTATCGAAATTTACCATTCATTTTTTTGTTTTTAAAATTCCATTCTTTTTCTTCAATTTTCTCTTTTTAATTTAATGTGAAGCATATGCAAGAAAATCCCTACTTCCCTAAATGAAAGATAATAAAGATTACATCCAAACAATGCTTGGAAATTGCCAATAACACAATGATTGATCAATTTAATGTTAAATGATACTCAATGTATTTTGGACATATAAAAAATTTTGAGGGGGCCATGGCCTTCCTCCATCGTAGCTTTACATTTGTGAAATGATCAGCAATCCAAACCATACAATACGTGTTACAATATAACCTTCAAACTAACTTTTGCCAAAGCCCATCTAGGTGACCACATTTCTGCATATGATAGACTGATACTTTCTCTCTCTCTCTCTCTCTCTCAAATTTGGTACCATCTTCAGTTAAGATTTAAGAATGAGTAAAGAATCGCAATCAGGGAGGCTACAGAGACTTCACCACGAATTATATAAATGGAACTAAGAAGAGAAAAGGTAAAAGGGTGTTAAGGGATGAAGAACAATTCATGAATAAAATTCGTCCAAGTCATTGTGTAAGAAAGAGGAGCATAGATATTATAAACTGACAATGCATTAAATGTAAATCCTCCAAATAAGTGTTCTTCCAAATAATATGGATGAATTGATTTATTTAGAGTATAGAGACCCTAAAATTTGAAAAGCTAAGACAACAGGAAAATTTTGTGAATTCAATCAAATTCTGGGTTCTCATGGCAATCTGCCAATCCATCCATCATTGTCTATGAAAGATGATCTTGAGAATTGGTTCAGTTGGGATGGATTGAGCTTCTTTTCCCATGGAACACGCCTGGAAGTGTCAGATCCTGGTCCTTGGCAATTCACCTCAGCATACATAAAATTTTCTCTAGCATTTTATTGCAGAACAAAGACACACCTTAATCAGCGTCAAGTTCAACGAAATTTGCATTTAAAAATGGAAATAGAAAAAGATCTTACTCTTTTCCATGGTATCTCCAGGCATCCCACCCTTCAGAGAACACCTCTGCATTCATTGTTGTCTCCTGAAATATTACTCTAGAATAAGGACCATAGGCTCTTCCCAGATAAGATTGCGTAGTGCCAAAGATTTTGCCTTGCTTAAACACAAAACCACTAGGACCATCTGATGATTGCCGGCCCTGAGCTGTTATATAACCTAGAGGAATTTGTGAAGAAAATGCACCAGCAGTAACATTTATCGAACAGTCCTGGAAAAACCATGAGAAATCAAACATCTGTTGATTGCTTCTGGCAATTATGTCCAGGTTTTCATTTGTTTAAATCAGTTACCTCATAGAGAGATTGGCCATCACCGAAGATGAAATCCACGGCTCCTTCAATATGGCATTGGTAGAAGTAATGGCGGCCTATCGCATCCCACAACGTATCTTGCAACCCCAAGAAACCACACTGAAAAAATGCTGATTTGTCGCCTAAAATTCTTGCTGCAACTGCCTGTGATACACCGGGAACTGGTCCTTCGCTAGAGAGACGTTCTAGCAGCAACAGATGATTGTACGAGTTCTGCAGTAGAAATCAACAGCTTGGTTTATTCATATATTTTAAGCACATTAATCCAAATGATGGCAATGTCAAAGACGAAGGGAGGCATGTTTTTTAAGTTTATACACATGAACAGTAACAACAAATGCATCGTTGATTCTGTCAGGTTGACATTACAAAGTCTTCCTCAAGTTGTCAGAGCAAAACACGCCTCTCTTTGTCTTGTATAGTTTGCTTTTGCTGTACAGTATTTCCTGGTTAGCAGATCCCTCAGCTAGCGTGGATAAAGATAAAGAAAGCAAAGAAGCTTTTAGGGCAAATGATGAAGAGCAATGGCTTGAAGCTTTGCCTTGAAAGTGATGCCCTTTGCAACTATGTAGTCAGCAACGGAAATGAAAGTACAACTCGTATCTGTTCTATCATGGGCGTTAAAGGTAATCGTTGTGACACTTCGATCCTGTCCTTCAAGAACAATACAAGGCTTATCTCTCGGAATAACCACCTTCTCCCTGCTTATTCAAAGTAAAGAAGGTGAGTACGTAATTAAACCAGTACTGTTATACCTTGAGCTGATGAAAATCTTATATATCATCTGTTTAAGAAAGAAAAATTACGTGTAGACACCAGGATTAATTCGGACTTTGATCCATTGATCATTGTTCGAAGGAATGGAATTGATGGCAGATTGAATCGAGTTGAAGTTTCCATTACCAGACTTGTCCACGACGATGGTAGATGCAAATTGAGAGCCACCATTTCCAGTGCTACAATCATCAGCCATGGAGGTTCTCAAAGAAAGTATTAACAGCACGATCATACATGGTGCTGTGTGCTGCATTTTGGGTGAGTGCTGGTTCAGTCCCAAGCTTTTTTAACTCTGAATTCTTCGAAGGTATATCTGAGGGGAGTATTGCCAAAACAAAAGAATGGTGGGATATATAGAGAAATGATTACTTATGGAAAGAATCATTAATGCAATTCCATGTATAGTAGGTTTTCATGCAAGCCAGATCTTCTTTTGACGTGAACCAATTAAAGCAAAGCATGAACTTGGTATATACATTGAATTCATGAAACTGTTAGTGGAAAAAGAATAATGTTACATAATTTCTTTCCTTCTAAATTATATTGAATGTAAATCACAAATTCATTCGGATAAAAATAAGTATAGAATTTAACATGATATTATGATCATAAATTATTATTATTCACATTGTTAATTGTTGGTTGATATTAATTTTGACGTGACTAACTAATTTTTATAATAAAAACTCATATTAAAATCTCATATATATATATATATATATATATATATATATAAATAACTTCTACTATAAGGTAGATATTGGATGATGAGCATAGTAAATAGACCCGGATTCGACTTCCTTCCGGCAAACACATACATATTTATATCATTTTTAACATTTAGCATGTTCAGGGGTGGATCTTAGGTTGTCTTTGGATCCATCCTCCTTTGTTTATGAAACTGTCAACATTAATTAAATAGCTCAAATCCTGAGGTGACAGGTTCTTCTCCCATGGCACACGCTTGGACTTGTCTGCGCCAGGCCCTTCACAATCTACCTCTGCATAAACTATAGAATCTCTGCACAATTTTTATGATAGAAATTGTCACTAGCCATGCCTGATTAATTCACCATGATTACCATAAGTTTTTCGTTTTGAGGTATGGAAATCTTACTCTTTACCAACATTATTCCATGCTGACCAACCCTCTGGAACAATGATGTTGGCCATCTGTGTCTGATAAAACAACACTCTAGCATACTGTCTGAATGCTCTTCCAAGATAAGCAGGACCGGTTCCAAAAACTGAACAGTATTTGAACACAAAACCACTATCATCAGTCGTGCTGTCTCGAGCTTGAGCAGTGATGTAAGCAGTCCTGCCTCGACCTAGAAGTGATGCTGTTGCGTTTAGAATGCATCTCTACATGAAAATTGGGTTTGATCCAACGTAAGGAGCTTGATGATACATGTGAAAATTCAATGTAAGGGAAATAAGCCAACCTGATAAATTGATCTGCCATTACCCCAGATGAAATCCACAGCACCTTCAATGTAGCAATTTTCAAAGTAGTGTCTACCCTGTGAGTCTGTCAATGTGTCCTGTAGGCCTATGAAACCGCATCGATAAAATGCTGCCTTGTCTGCATTGATCAGAGCTGCTGGTGCCCATGTAATGGGATTTCCAGGTTGAAGGTTATGAGTATTCTGTCAAAAAAAAAAAATGTCAGTAGTTTGAAGAAAACTTGTTAGGCCCTTTGGTATTTACTCAGGTTGTTGTGAAAGGTTTTGCGACTTGGTTGGGATGGAAATGAATAACCTTGAATTCAAGAACAAATTTGCAAAAAGTTTTTAAGCTGATTGACCTTGAATGTTATATCCATGGCAAGAAATTCTTCAGCATATACTGAAAAAGTAGAACTTTCAATAGAGCTACCCCCATCTCCAAACTGGACAACAGTTGATCCTCTCGACTCTCCTACAAGAAGAATTCTGGGTTTGTCTCTGGGGATGTTTAACTTTTCACTAGACAGATGAAGGCACAAGATTAGAGCTAGAAAACCACATTGTTGGTCTGCAAAATAAGTAAAAAAAAAGTTCAGCAGTAATTACTTGTAGATACCGGCTTTAACATGGATATGTATCCACAATGAATTCATTGATGGAATAGAATCGATGGCTTTTTGGATAGTGATGAAATCCCCATGGCCTGATTGATCAACTAGGATAGTCTTGGCAATTACATCTTGTACATCATATTTCATATTTCCAGCATCTGCCCTGGTCGACATGAAAAGGAATGAAACCAGCACAGAGTGGAGAAAGAATTGAAGATAGTGCATTTTGAAGGTGCCCAAGAGTTTAAGAGAGATCAATGAAACAAAATTTTATGAATCGGAGAAAAATAGGATGCCTGCTTTTATCTGTTCCAGTAAGTTTAGCTCTGAATGGTGCAACATGTAAGATGATGTTTCAATTGGAAAGTACTGAATCTTTTGGAAATATTTCTGGCTCATGTGAGAGACATATCATTTTCCAATGGATAATTAAAGAAAGCCATGGAACAATAGTGTGAACCATGTAATCTCTTTCAAGGTTATGATGATTTGCAAAGCATGATTTTCCTTAATGAGCAAAACCATATTAACTCAAACATCTGCTGAGCTTTCACCAGCTAACTAATGAAGCTAAGTTTTAATTGTTTCTCCATAGATGGCTTTGCCTTTACATTTTTGGAATTACAGCTAATTTACTTCATGCTTAGCGGAGAATTAGCTGGTCTTGATTATCAGCAAAGTGTTGGTATAACATTAAAGGTTCAAGTAAATTCTAAATACAAGTACTAAATTTATTACCCTAAAAAGTTTCAGTTTCTTAATTGTAATATATGCAGGTATGGAACCTTTTTAATGGAGCCTTAATGGACTAGAAATTCTCAAGGAATGCTTCAAGAGGTGATAACACTATAGTCATGGTTGTTTGTTATAAGTATTGATATTGTTCATATTGGGATTCGATCTCATGCTCAAATATAAAAATAATTAAAATATAACGTAGCGAAAAAATAAAATAATATTTAATCATTAAAACAGTCGAATCCTACAAATCAATGTTTGTGTTTTTCATATAACTTTTAAATAAATTATAAACATTTATAGGTTTAAAAGTTAAATACTTTGTTCTAGATATCGTAATCAAGAATCAATTAAATCAAAAAATCTTTATTTTTTCATTTTTAAGATTTGTCAAATCTTAAGCCACTTAAGTGTTTGGCATCTAACAGTAATCTGCACAGTGACTGAATAAAACCTTCTCCACGATAGGATTTTACTTGTGTTAGCAAATTTTGTTTTTAAAACAAAAAGATCAAAATTCTTGCTGAATCTTATTTTTTATCAGACAAAGAAAACTATTTTTTTTTCTTATCTTATGAAACTACTGAAAAGTAGTTGGAGGTTTCAAATTTTTAGTTTGCTAATATAACATATTTATAGTCAAACTAATTTATAATATTAAATACAACAGTTGTGTTTTAATTTAATTAAGTCTCTGAGAACTTAATTAATTTTTCACTTTAGGTCTCTTTCAATTAAATCTAACTTAATTAATTATCTTTATTTAATCCCAATCATGTCACTTAATATGTGTGACCCATTAAGCTTCTAACATGTTGACAATAAATATAAATCATAATCAAATATCAATTCGATAATTAATTTATATTTATAGATCATGGGCAGCCTCTAGAAATATATCATGACTACCCAAATATTAGAGAGTCAATTAAAAAATTTGACAAAGCCCTTTAGTGATAAACCTCTCAATACAATACGATCCTTTCATCAAATATCTCATATATGTCATTAAGCATTGCTCGGTATCTACTTATGATATTCTATATTAGTTCTTATAATTCATAACTAACTTTATGAATTTAGGAAACTAATTTTTCTCAAATTCATCATACTTTAGCCAAAACTTTATATAAGTTAATCAAGAATTGAGAACAAGTAAGATACATTCCCTCACATCACTTGGGGTGATGAATCCTCTCTTGATCACTCATTCAGCTTCGCATGCTTCATAGCACATCCAAAAACACCATATTTAGGGATTTGATTATTTTCAAACCTATAAAGGTGAAATCAAAGTATGTTATTCCTCATACAAGATGACTTGGTGTTTCAAATCTAAGAACTAGTTGCACAATTATCACATGAGAATATTTTTCATAGACACTTGAGTGAAATACCAAATGGAATTCTTATAGTGGGTCATGTTCAGTGAACTTTTTCTTTAACAAGTACGTACATGTTATCCTCGAATATTCCATATACTTCAATTTATAAAATCGATTACTTACTTTCTAAACAAGGAGGCTTAACATGTAATAGTCTTTAAGCATTGTCAATACTTTGTCTTGATAATACAATGACCAGTAATAATTTTAAGAACACGGTTTTGATGCATAATGATCTCATAATTATAGCAACTTTATAATTCTCTTACAAGGTTTTTATATTCTATGGGCTTCATCCAATTAATGCTTAATAATTTCTTATTATTGCACTAACATGAAGGAAAACTTCTATCATATAAAATTATACGATTAAATATATATTAAATAATAATATATATTTCTTAACCAATCTAATTGGTTCAAAGGCATATACCAACAGTTCAGGACAATATGCAATTAGCTTAGAGGTCGAAAACCATAACAGAATACAACACACAAAGTTGGACAATACATAACAATCTGATACCATAAATGTACTTATTTGTCTGGAATTGGTATAGACATCTAAGCAGCGGATATCACACCCCAGATCCATCAGTTCCATACTATTATTGTATTAGTACACATATACACAAACCATTTTCTTCATAACAGACTAATTCCCTTTTACTGGTGGGTGGTCACTTGTGTAGTGATGGTGGTTCTCAGTAGATGATTCAGATGGATTTCCATAGGTTCCATAGCTATTGTTGCTCTCATCTTCATTGCTGTTTCTGGTGTTACTATTGCTGCTAGTGCCATTGTCACTTTTTACTTCAACTGTTGGACCCAAAGCAGTGACCGGTTTCTCATCAGTTCCTGACTTGCCAGGTTCATCATCAGATACAGCCTGATTACCTGTTTTCTCTATCTTCACCCCCAATAAAAACGTTCTGGCATCAGCTTGACAAGGCAACAATACCAGTCGCAGGTAAAACAGAACCAGAAGTACCCTCTTCATGATCAACCTATCCTGTCTGATCAATAATAAGATCAAATGATTACTAATAATGTTACTTCAATAAAAAACTA